TGGGAGGAAGAGGATGGGCATGATTCAAACTCAGCCCCATGATGGACAAAGTCACCCCAGATGGGGTGGGGCAGGTCCCATCAACATAGTCCCAACAGGGTTGAATGTGTTCCTCAGAGCACCCTCCACGGCAGGCGTCCCCTGTTGGAGGGGCTCCCAACACAGCCGTGACCCACAAGGAGCCTGCTGGGGGTCGTCTTTGAAGCCGAGGCATGAAAAACTTGAAAAGAATCGCTGTGGTCTCCAGATCCATTTCACAATGCCGCATCCAGTGGAAGGTTGGCTGAGCAGCCCTGGGGCTGCTGGACAGGTAGAATATCAGTCTACAGCAAAATGGGTGAAATGACACTTTCCAACAAACCCCCCCCGAGGGATTCAAATATTCAACATATCTTAATCTGTACCCCACTATCCCAAAGGCTTTTCCCTGTTCTTCTGCGTTTGGTTTCCCGGCGAGAGGAGTAAGTTACTCCTGATGCATTTCTGAACAGCTTTGCCAGTGCTGCTGTGGAGCGCGTCCCTCCTGTACCTGCCTCCTTGGTGCAGACGCACCCCTGGGGGCTCCTGTAGCTGAGGCTCTCAAGAAGTTTTTAATATCTGCTTTATTAAAGTCAACCAGAAACAGATCTGCAGAAATTGCACCAGTTCAACCAGTCACCCCCTGGCAAATTTATTTCACATCTTCCCAGACTTCAGAAAGGGGCTTAAGTGAGTCCAGAAATAACACAACTCCAACCCAATGCCTGTGGCCAATTGTGTCTTCTTTCAAGACCTTCAGAGGAGTCCCTGACCGTGTGTCCATCTTGCATTAGGCCTTGTCCTTCTGCTCTGACACCATAACCTGTCTCTGAGCTCTCACACCTCTGTCCTGTCCCTCCTAACGCCGTCCTGTCTAACAGCCTTGTGTAGAGCCTTGCCATGAACGAAGAGCTCAGCCATGCAGGGGGGCCATTTCCCTCCTGGACCCATAGAAAAAGAAGCTGAAAGGACCTACAAACAGTTATTTCATCTGTCTCCTTCCACCAAGACAAGCTCAGTTCTGCTTAAACTATTCTAGATGGGTTTCATCTCATTTGTGCTGAAAACTTCCCACCACAGAGACACCACACCTTCCCCAAGCATTTGGTTGCAATACTTTGCTCCTTCCCACTAGGATACTCTTCCTGCTGTTCAGCTTGGATCTTACTCAAGGCTTTTTGAATTGTGTCCCAAGAGAGCGTGAACAAAACATTACTCCTTTCCTCTGTGCCGTAGCCTCTTGCACGCCCAAATACCACCATGCTGCCCTTGAACTTCTCTCTCCTAGACTCAGCGCATCCAAGCCCTCAACGTTTCCTGTAGGTCTTGCTTTCAGACCCACTAATTTGGGGTCTGCCAAGGCAGATGTGACGTTCCTCAGAGCTCCCACCTCTCCAGCCCCCGCGGGAGAGGAGGGGACTGTGGTGGCTCTCTGTAAGCTTTCAGTGGAGACTCCCCAGTAGTAGGTTGGGCTTTGCCCTGTCCGAGCTGCCCTGCCGACACCAGCATGGACAGTCAGGGTTGGCCCCCTCCAATCCCGGGTCATTTTAAAGCACTTTCCACCTTGATATTTTCCTACCAGTGGGTGAAACCACCCAGCCCCAATGCCTCAGAGCTTTTCTTTCTGTCTCTGGAAGAAAAATAAGAAAACAATAGGAAGAAAAGCTGCGTCAGAGCCAGGCAGATCGGAGTTAATCCTCCCTCAAAATGGATCCCGTCAGTGCCGGTGTACGTGAGAATCGCCTCTCCTGCACCTTTGCTGGGTACTCTCCCCGGCACAATGCTTCACTTTGTGTTTCAGCACAGAAAGAAATGGTGAAGTTGCTAATAATGGCACTAAAAGAAAATATGCTACATCTGTTATGGATAGCAGTACAAAATTAGCTGATCACACCTCTGACACCCAAGATGTCTTCACTTAAAATACTCGTTGGCTTACTTTACATAATTTGCTGATTATATTTAAAAGAAATACAATTTTGCAATTACTGTTCTTTCTGGTGTGCTATCTATGCATCATTTTCTTTTTATGTTTATATATTTCTCCTTCATTAGTGCAGTCTGAAGGGTGATTAGATCCCTTCAAACATTTTACAGAGGTTAAACGTTGATTAAGATTTAATTATTACTGTAAATAGCTTGGAATGACATATGGTGCAAAAACCTGACATATGTGCATTTGAATAAATGAAGTGCTATTTCCCATGATGCTTCAGTAGCTGTTTAACAGCTTTGCTGAAGGGTTATGTTGCACCTCATGTTAAGATTGCTTTGATGTTATATTTTGTTGGGTTTTTGCAGCTGAAAGCTAAGAACAGTTTTTCCAGTTTTTAAAAACATTGAATATTTTAAATACCTAAATTGTTTTGCACAAATTTTTGCTAATTTGTCTAACTAGGTTAAACATTTTCAAAAGCATTTCGATTTTAACGTGGGTTCCTAGCATTGTGTCAGCAACAGCATCAATTCAATGTATAGGATTTCTAAAAGTCTGGTCTTGCAAGGTGCCCTGTCCCAGCTGGGAGCGGGATCTTTGCTCGCTGTGGGAACTGGGAGCACCACAGATCCCTCCCAGGGACGCAAAGCTTCGGGGTGATTGCAGAGCGAGGGGAAGCTTCGTGCAAAGCCAGTGAAAGGGAGAAATGGGGAAAGGGCAGGAGATTTTATGGGGGCAGAGAAAGGGGTAGGTAGGTTTTAGCTGTGCTCCATGCCGGGGGGAGGATATAGAGCCCTGGGGGTGTGCTGTCCCCTCGTGTCACCAGGCAGCCCTTGGCTTGGCCACGTCCCTACGGAAGCAAACCACAGCTCCAGGGGCTGGATTCCTTCTAGCACCAGGCAGGGGGACCTTGGCTGTGGGAAAAGGAAGGGATGTCTCCTGGAAAACGATGGGTGGGACCTGTTTGACTCTCACAGACACTGTAATCCATGGAATACCTCAAGGCAGCGAGTGTGCATCATTTCATGGAATACAAGTCAATCCAAAGAGGGTTGTTTTGAGACTTGAGCAGAGTAAAGCTGGTTAAAATGACACAGAAAAGGCACGATTGCCACTGTATTATTTGCAAATTCTACTTCTCCACATTAATTTAATGATCCACCGAACTCCTGCTGCAACACAACAACGCGATACCTATTCTGATCTTGCCTCCTCTTTGATTTCACAGATTGAGACATCTCGGCTGGAGCCAGAAATCGCAATGGCCACTACCAGTAAGACTGTAGTCTACAATAAAGGATTGTAAGTGGAAGTGGAACATCTCAGCCCAGAAGATTTGGGGAGGGAAAGGGGGAAACGTGAGATCCCGACTGGGAAAAAGAAAACAAGAGAAAACAAATAATAGAGCTCAGCGATAGTAACATATTACCGCTCCCGGCGAACTGGGAGTAAATTAACACTTGCAGAGAACTGACACCTCACACCAGTCAAAAAGATTAATATTAAAAGTTTTAAATTAGCAACAGGAGCAGCAACAAAAGAATCATATTCAAACACTTTAGAGAACTAGCTAAAGAAGAATCTCAGAACTTAATAGCACTGCATGGAGGGATGTTTAACGGCGTGTTTACATGGTTATACCTAACTACATGAAAGTAGGCTTCACCGAGCAAATTTTGTTTTCCATGCGAATTAAACCTCCACACTGATGCTGCACAAAAATAATTCCGTAGAGGTCAACGGGTGCATGAACGTGAAGCGCTTGGTAGGGTGTTTGCTACGTGTCCTGTATTGATTCCATGCCGATCCTGCCCCGGGGATCATGCGCAAAAGCAGCCGTTCATGGTTCGACGTGCGACGCTCCGTTAGCGCAGCGAAGGGCGTAGCCTGTGCGCCCTCCATCCCTCCCTCCTCCTTCTGCAGATGGTCCTGGTGGCATCTTGCAAGACTCTGTGTCACGGGAGCCTACAGCCAGGTGTATCTGCAAGGGCTTTCACCCGGGATTCAAGATACTGGAAAGCCAACACGCCCACACCTTGGGTCGGAAGTGATCTTCTAGCAAAAATGTGATTGATCTGCTCTTTTCCTTTGTGCAGATGTGAAGGATGGGCTTTGTCCCACCTAACATAGGCCCTCTAAAAGTGAGGTTGTTGATATAAGATAACTGGCTAAGCTATGCTTTGCTAAGCTAGTTGTCTAAGGACAGAGAAAGAATAGGCTTTAACTTTTGATCAGCCCTGAAGTGGTTAGGCAGTGGGACTAGATGATCATTGTAAGTCCCTTCCAACTGGAACTTTCCTCTTCCCTTTCTCTTCTCTTCTCTTCTCTTCTCTTCTCTTCTCTTCTCTTCTCTTCTCTTCTCTTCTCTTCTCTTCTCTTCTCTTCTCTTCTCTTCTCTTCTCTTCTCTTCTCTTCTCTTCTCTTCTCTTCTCTTCTCTTCTCTTCTCTTCTCTTCTCTTCTCTTCTCTTCTCTTCTCTTCTCTTCTCTTCTCTTCTCTTCTCTTCTCTTCTCTTCTCTTCTCTTCTCTTCTCTTCTCTTCTCTTCTCTTCTCTTCTCTTCTCTTCTCTTCTCTTCTCTTCTCTTCTCTTCTCTTCTCTTCTCTTCTCTTCTCTTCTCTTCTCTTCTCTTCTCTTCTCTTCTCTTCTCTTCTCTTCTCTTCTCTTCTCTTCTCTTCTCTTCTCTTCTCTTCTCTTCTCTTCTCTTCTCTTCTCTTCTCTTCTCTTCTCTTCTCTTCTCTTCTCTTCTCTTCTCTTCTCTTCTCTTCTCTTCTCTTCTCTTCTCTTCTCTTCTCTTCTCTTCTCTTCTCTTCTCTTCTCTTCTCTTCTCTTCTCTTCTCTTCTCTTCTCTTCTCTTCTCTTCTCTTCTCTTCTCTTCTCTTCTCTTCTCTTCTCTTCTCTTCTCTTCTCTTCTCTTCTCTTCTCTTCTCTTCTCTTCTCTTCTCTTCTCTTCTCTTCTCTTCTCTTCTCTTCTCTTCTCTTCTCTTCTCTTCTCTTCTCTTCTCTTCTCTTCTCTTCTCTTCTCTTCTCTTCTCTTCTCTTCTCTTCTCTTCTCTTCTCTTCTCTTCTCTTCTCTTCTCTTCTCTTCTCTTCTCTTCTCTTCTCTTCTCTTCTCTTCTCTTCTCTTCTCTTCTCTTCTCTTCTCTTCTCTTCTCTTCTCTTCTCTTCTCTTCTCTTCTCTTCTCTTCTCTTCTCTTCTCTTCTCTTCTCTTCTCTTCTCTTCTCTTCTCTTCTCTTCTCTTCTCTTCTCTTCTCTTCTCTTCTCTTCTCTTCTCTTCTCTTCTCTTCTCTTCTCTTCTCTTCTCTTCTCTTCTCTTCTCTTCTCTTCTCTTCTCTTCTCTTCTCTTCTCTTCTCTTCTCTTCTCTT